ACCACGACACTCAAGAATTCACCACTTGTCCAAAACGGCTGAACTCGATTGTTTCATCAAAATATGAGTCTTACATAAGAACAAATTCACAGCGAATTTCACTAAAATATATCGTACCATTCTCCCGATATTTCAGAAAAGATAAATTTTTTGAAGAACTTTGACCATCAATAGCAGAGGAGCCAGACATTTTTTGTTAATAAAAGTTAGGTGAGATCGTCTTCTTTTGGTCCAAAGAATATCGCAGTACTCTTTTGATCATAAGATTACGGGACACCCTGTATATCAATAGTTGATATTGATTGTTACTTACTTGGGCAGTCTAGAATCTCGTAAGCTAATTCTGGTTTACAATGTACCAACAACTTTGCAAGGAATAAATATCTACCCATTATAGACATTGAAGCATTCGTATTGGTTATAAAAAGCTAAAACAGAAGTAGACATATACGATAAAAATAGCTTTATCTGATCATGATCATGATTCTGTGTCCACGAAGCAATAAAAATATCACATTCTATCACAAGCCAGGCTTAATAAATGCAGAAATGACGATAATGCTTTACCCAGCTAGTGCTGCTCGTTATTTTATAGTCTTTCATGCCTTTCCGTTCCCTCATGCATTGATGTGGATATAAATATAACAATTGCCAAAATTTGCCTCATTGGTGCTATTTTAAAACATGCGAAAGTGAACATAACGTTTTTCTTTTTTTAATAGAAGTTTAATAAAACCTATTTAAATGTACGTACCCTCGAGGTGACCAAACTATCCCAATCCGAAAACTTCGCCAATAAATATTGAACGTCCACAAACATATTTCGAGCCTCCAATATAAACAGTATATTCATTGTAATCACCTCTAATATCACTCGAAAAAATACACATTTATAAAAATCTGGTTTCGTATTTTCTAAAAAATAAAATGTTCATGTGAGTCAACTCAACTGAAGGGTGTGAAGATAGTTCACATCTGCGACATACTTTCGATTCAATTATACAATTACACATATGCAAGTTTCCAGGAACAAACGGTATACATTATTTGTGAAACTACATAAACGAGTACCTACCTATACTGGTCAGTAGACTTTGGTACTTTCTTGCAATCATTTGATTCATGCCCTTTAAATGGGCTAAAGTCATAGAAATGAAATTTTGGATGGTTGAAGGTCCTTGGTATTTACAGCATAATGCAAGGAAACGTTCTCCGTCCCCCGTCTTCACACAGTCGTTTAGAGCCAGCACATCGTCCTCATCGATGTCAATATTATCGATTTCCGCTAAATAGAAATTGTGTAGGCTCACATTAATATTGTAGCTCGGTTGGAAGTACAAATGACCAAACCTCGGATGATCTGTAATCTAAGCATCTTAATTTAATAACAAATAACATGAGTATATAAACACATGCAAATAGAAAATCATTAAGACTGTTTGAAAGAAAGCAGTTAGGAACAATTTTCTTCCATTTAGAAAGGCTAAATCTGACTGTGTTTTGGAGAACGATTTTGGYTGAATGSRAGTGATAAAAATTATAATAMAATATCTCACAAGCCATAAGAACGAATCAAAATTAAATTAATGTARCACGTTTTTGAATACTTACGGGGCAGAAATCAAATAAACATTGTCAGATTTTTGCCACTCGCATATACGAGTTAAATATTTCTAGATTTGTTATGAGTAAATTACTACCACTGWTTGAGACAGTGAATGGGGTCATGACCACCATGACCACCATGACAACCACATCAGACATATAGGTGCAAGATTATRCCAAAATTTCATGTTTTYCGTCCCGCTTTTGCTCGTTTCTCGGAAGCAAAATGAGYAATGAACGCTCAWTTTYACATCATTCCASARAGAACTAAATGGCCTTTTTAGAAAGTGAACTATCGATAAGGAAATRTWGGSAGTTTTCTAAAAAAAGTCTTGATTTCWAGAAGTTTTAGATTTGCGTGTTTTTTTTTGAGGTGCAAGATCGACTCAATCATGACGMGGTTTTTCGAAGTTTCTCAAGGCCCATTTGAGCCAYAGAATTCGTTTTGGCATCGTTGGATAGAGAATTGAAAATTCGATTCAGTCATAACAACATGAATGAAGAAATTCCAGTAGTTTTGACCCAGAAACCGAAATTTGAATATCACACTTAGGTGCAAGATTATGCCAAAATTTAATGTTTTCCGTCCCGTTTTTGCTCATTTCTCAGAAGCAAAAATGCTCATTTTTACATCATTCCAGAGAGAACTAAATGGCCCTTCTAGCAAGAGAACCATCGATAAGAAAATGTTGGCAGTTTTCTCCAAAAAGTCTTGATTTCAAGAAGTTTTAGATTTGCGTGTT